ACAATATATATATATATATAGCCTCCTGATGAGTCGGTGAAACTCCGACGAAACAGTTTGTCACAGCCCCTCGTTTGTTGTCCTCTTCTCCCTCTCTGCCTACGGTTTACCGGGCAGTTTTATTTGACGATATATATACATATCTATTTGTGACGATATATATATATATCGTCACAAACAGAACTGCCCGGTAAACCGTAGGCAGAGAGAGAGAAGAGGACAACAAACGAGGGGCTGTGACAAACTGTTATATATGCCCCCAGTTCAGGGTATCCGTTGTCGTGCAGTCGTTGATGCTTAACCACAGCCAGGGTTAAGGTGGATTATCACTTACAGTGTAATCAGTTAGGGGATTCTGCAGACTGTAGAGGGTTCAGCCTCCTGATGAGTCGGTGAAACTCCCCCGAAACAGTCTGTCACAGCCCCTGGTTTGTTGTCTGCTTCTCCCTCTCTGCCTACGGTTTACCGGGCAGCTCTGTTTGACAATATATATATATATTACCGGGCAGTTCTATTTGACGATATATATATATATATATATATATATATATATATATATTCTGTTTTCGATGATATATCGTCACAAACAGAACTGCCCGGTAAACCGTATATATACTTCTGTTTGATGATATGTATGTATATAGTTCTGTTGGACGGTATATATATGGTATCAGTTTTCGGGCAGTCGCTTCGCCTCCTTCCTCCGGCTCCTCAGGCTGGGCTGCTCGCCATAGCCAGGCTGAGCGCCCAGCTGCTCGTCTCCTCCAGGCAGCGCTGCCCAAGTCCAGCGCTTGGCTCCAGCAGCATGTCGCCAATCCTTGCATACCGCAAATGAGGAGGAGCTGCTTGCTCCTCTGGAAGATATAGCGGCCTACTGGCCTTTTGGGCGGTGACTTCCTAGGCCGAGCGGCCTCCCAGCAACCGGTACCTCCTCCCTTTCGGAGGGAAACATCAGTTAGGGGATTCTGCAGGCTGTTGAGGGTTCAGCCTCCTGATGAGTTGGTGAAACTCCGACAAAACAGTTTGTCAGAGCCCCTCGTTTGTTGTCCTCTTCTCCCTCTCTGCCGACGGTTTACCGGGCAGTTCTGTTCATCTTTCCCTACGTACCTACCGCCACTCCTAAGGCTATACAGGGGACCCCTGCAGGCATAGCTATTTACCTCTCTTGGTGAAGGGAGGTTACCTCTCTCCATGGAGGGCATTGCATGTTTACCCCTTGCCCTACCGGTACTGGTTTAGGGTGCAGGGTCGGGGCCGCCGGTGGGGGTCCGCCTAACACAAGGACAGAGCATTTCCCAGTAGCTTTAACTCCCTTTTCATCTTCCTCCACCCCCATCGAGTAACAGCAGTGTCTAAGGCCAACACTCTCTCTCACGCCACACGCAACCCACTCACACTCGCACCCACACCCGTGTTTACTAATACCGACCGGAAGGACGCAGCTGACTATCCCAGTTGGTTGGCACCAAGCGTATTTTTTTATCTAGTTTTTAATTTTTAATTTCACAAAGAATTTCGACCCGACACTCCCTGAGGCAAAAGTTGTTCGGTTTATTTTTCTGCACAACATATTTTTCCTTTAAAAATTTTTGGATTTTGTTTTTCCCTCTCAGGGATCTTCCCTGGCCCTTGCCCGTCCGGGCTGCTCCGGCAACCAAGGTGACCCGGGCCGCCGGGTTGATAACACAGGTAAGCAATCAATATGTCTCGTAAATTTTTGTTTTTAAATGTCTTTGTGGGCAGGGTTGTCAGACTGCCTACGGCCGACGCCGACCGTAGGCCGTCGGCTCACCTACGAGTCGAGCCGACCCATACACGGACTGGTCGGCAGTTTGTAGAGGGCGATCCACTGTTTTTTTCAAATCTGAGTTCAGGGCTGTACTGCACTTGCTGAGTACA